TGCCGGCGCCGCCGCGTAGCCGGAGCTCCCCGGCTCCCGGCACGGGGACATGAGGAAGAGGAGCGAGAGCGGAGTTTGCAACAGCCCCCCCCATCCCCGGGCCCCCTCCCCACCAAAACGTCACAGAGAGAATTACAGAGTTCATTTCCTAAGGGAAAATCTACACCCAGTTTATTTTCTGGCTGGTTTTGCCCTGGAACGTGTCCCCGGTGTAACCGGGAATATTCGCATCAGCCAGGCTGGCCGGCTATCTCGAGTCACTTTGCTTTTTTCATCCCTCGCTCTTGCATCAGCGGTTGCAGTTCGCTGCGGGTTGCACAAGCGAGGCCACTCCTTCCTCCGCCACTTTGGGCGCTAATTTAAAAACCTGTCGGTTGTGCCAGTCCCATTCCCTTTTAATTGCTTCAAGTTTAAAATAAAAAGCCTACAAAGAGACAACATGATCTGTATTAATAAAAAACCTGAGGGGACTACTGGTAGTAGAATACGAGCATCACTTCACCAAATGAACTCAACTGTTCTAGGAAATTGGGGGGGGGGGGGGTTAAAAAAAAAATGAGCTGGTTTAAGCAGTGAGCATCCTCTTGGTAAATGCTGCTTCATCTGAGAGTCCCGGCTCGCAGCCGGGGTCTGCGCTGACCGGGGGAGGATTCCCACGGCGTTGGGCTTCCCTTCGGTGCCAATCACATCTTCCTCGCATCCAGAGGGAGCGAACCAACAAACTGCAGCTGGAGCAGAGCTGGCGGTGGGCGAGGGAATGATCCGCTACCGCACAGTGACGCAGCGAGCCCTCCGCAGTGCGGCTCTACCAGCTGCTCTTTGCAACCAGGAGCAAAAATCCTTCCCACGTGGAAGCAGCAGCAGCAGCTTCCCTGCGCGGAAAGGCTGTTCCAGCTCGCCCGCTCCTCTCCTGCCTCTTAGGAACGGAAAGACCGGCTGAGCTGGGGAGCATCCCTAGCTTTGCCAGGATGGATTTTCTGCAGTGTGTGATATTAATTTCGGATGCTTTCACCTTCCCCATCCTCCTTTCACCTTTCCTCCCCGTCCCACCATGCCGGTCCGGAGGCAGCCGAGGGGGTGAGCAGCCGATGCCGACCCAAACGCCTTGGCTGGGCCCAGCGCCGGGGAGGGGGGACCGGCGATGGCAAACGCTGCTGGGGCGCGTGGCAGCCTCCAGCCAAACATGCCCAAACATATTCTCCAGCTGCTCGGGCCGGTGGGAAGCTGCTGGTCCAGCCGGGAAATGCACGGGTGTTTTGCACGCCAAGGGTCCTGCTCGGCACCCCAGCACCCGCTGGTTCCAGGGGCCTTCGAGGGTGCCTGGCACTCCCAAGGGACCGCTTTAATTTGGTCTTTGTCCCTTGGAAGGGTGCTCTCGCCTTCTTGTGCCCCACAGGAGCGCACCCGTGCTGCCCAAGGCGTGGTGTCCAAGGTGCCTGGGCAGCTTACGCCGTGCCGGGAGGGTGCTGCAGAATGCGGCCCCCCTGACTCCGTGGGCGTCAGCCCTCATGCCGCAGGGCAGAGACGGACCCACGACCCCGCGCCTGCCACAGCACAGGGGTGGGTGCCCTCCGGCCTTGCAGTTTAACCCTGGCAGAAGCTGCCCGCGGTTCAGACCTTTCCCGCCTGTGGACTTGGATGCGTTTTCCAGATAAGCCACAGATCCCTCCAAATCCTCCCCACAGGTTCCTGCAGGACATGCACAGACTTGTTCCTCCTCCTCGTCCCTGCCCGGGCGCCTGCAGGACTCAGACCAGCAGATCCTTCCCAAAACGCTTTTCTCTGGCCACAGCTGGGTGCCGGGGGTTCGGCTGGCGGAGCGGAGCCAGGCCCCGGGGAGAAAATCCGGCAGGAGAGGCCAGGGGCGGCCTGTGCTGCCCAGGACGGGGTCAGGCAGCGTCTGGGGAGCAGGGGAGCATCATCCCGGCGTGGCTCTGAGGTGGGCGCCCCAGGGGACGAGAGAGTCGCCCCTTCCTTACCCCATTATCCCCCTTTCCCACTGGAATCCTCTGCACTAGTGACCCGGCAGGCAGGAAAGCCGGGTGGGACGTGGAGCACCCCGCCTCCAGTGAGCCAAGGTCTTCGTGTCTCCCGATGGGGAGGGGGCACCCCTGTATCCTCTGATGAGGGGTCCCTGCACCCCGCTAGGAAGGGGCTCCCTGTATCTCCTGATGGCGGGATCCCTGGATACCCTAACAGTGGGGTCCCTGTACCCCCTGATGGGGAGGTCACTGCATCCCTTATGGGAGGGTGGGGGTCCCTGTATCGCCTATGGGGTGTCCCTGTATCCCATGATGGGGGGATCCCTGAATCCCCTAGGAAGGGGTTCCCTGCATCCTGTAACAGCAGGGTCCCTGCACCCTGCTAGGAAGGGGGTCCCTGTACCCCCTGGTGGGGGGGGTCCCTGCATCCCCTAGGAAGGGGGTCTCTGTATCCCCTGATGGGGGGGTCCCTGTACCGGCTGATGGGGGGTCCCTGCACCCCCCTGGGAAGGGG